GGAATAAAACTGAATAGCACAAGGGCAAAGGCATAGTCAAGAGACTAATAATAATACTTTCTGTCAAAAAAATGGGGGCACATCAGCAAACAATAGCTAAAGAAGATCTTGGATCACTGTGACCGGTCAATCACTGATGTAACTCTAGATAATGAAAATGTGGGTTTCAAAGGTATCAAAAGGGCTAGTTTCAGCACATAGAGGGAAGCAGCACATTCATGGCTCTCATGGAGCCATACAGGCACAGGGGGCCAGGAGGAGAGGGAAAGCTACCCAAGAAGAAGAGAGGGGGTTTTATAACCTATCATCAAAAGCGAGGCAGAGCAATCACTGCCTAATGATACATATCAGCTTAAACACTACCAAGGGAGAAGTACTATTTAAGCTGGGAGTAGGTTTTGGCTCAAGAACTGATAGTCATAAGATGATTATAGATACATTTCAGCTGGCAATTAAAAGATAGCTCATAAGCATTGAGAAGCGAGGGGACTGCAACAATCTCCCAAGAAAGGAAGCAGCACCACTTGCCACAGACACAGCAGAAACCTCTCCAAAGTCTCACCAACTAGTTTTGAGACAAATCCTGGTGCCATCCTGAAAGGTCTTGGTGAGGGGATGGTCTGTAGATAAGGAAATGGATTCAGGAGGCCCCTTCCAACTCTATGCAGTGTGAGTCTGATAATTGCATACCACAGAGGAATTATTGGCGTTGATGGACTGACTGAGGCAGTCAATTAGTTTACTAGTATCAAGAAACAGTAACCTACTTATGCAGTACAGCAAAACTGGGAGAAGAGAGGGCATCAAGAAAAGCTGCAAGGTGCTTGCCCAGCAAGTACAGCCAGCCATCTCTAGGAGGATATTCATTCCTCTGGTCATATACATGCAGTACCACCCTGCATGGTGCCTTGGGAGAAAGGGCTCAGAAACACATCGGAAGTGCAACATCAAAAGTATATTAACATTATTATAACTGTGCCATCCATAAAAGAGGAGGAGAAAAAGCCTTGATTGGCTTGAAATTTGAATTGCAGTGAGCTGTGTGATCATACTGGGTAGTGTCTTTGGGGAAGAGTCAGGCTGGAGACAAGTGTGGGAACACCCAGTCTCACATTTTACTCCTGCGTGGGACAGAGTATTCACATGGCTTTTGCAGACAGAGCAACACATTTCTTGTGCAACAGGGCTGAAGGGTCTACCTAGTTTTTTTCGTCTGGCAACTATTCATTACCCAAAGTAAAATCAAGAAAGGAAAAAAAGCATTAACATGCTGAGATGGTAAACAATATAGGTTTCCTGAGAGTCCTGATCATTTACTGATGGCTTTTGAGCATTTGGGCCTCTCCCAGCCTCGCAGTCATCTCTAGCCCCAGTGTCTGTCTGGCGTGCGGCTTGGTGACAGAATGGCAAAGAGCCACAGTGGAGATGGTGCAGGGAAACCACACAGCCCCGCTCGTCAGCGGGCCGGCTGAGGTGAGCCGTCTCACACCAGCCTTCCTCAGCATTTGGAAATGTCGGGTACGTTCATGCCTCCGCCTCGCCTCCGCCACCAGCCCCAGGAGCGTGCTGGCGGGGGGGAGCACAGCGCGGCGCTGCTGTCATGAGCCCACAGGTGAGAAAAGCCTCTCCAGTTGAGTCACACACAGTCCACGTGGTTTTCATGGTGGCTTGAGTATTTGTAGAGTCATCTGGGTCTGACTGCCCAGCTCCTCCAGCAACTACAACCCCGACAGTATTTAAGATGAGTCTGAGGTGCCTTCGATGGCCGCTTGGCCACATGAAAGAGAAGCAGCACAGTTCAGGAGGAAGACGGTGGCAGAGCAGGTGTGAAAAGATAGAGGTTGAAATGCTAAGTCTGCTTTAAAGCAACCTGCAACTTGGGTTCAGTGGCATGAAAGGCTTCGGTTTCTTTAATTTGAAAGTATGAGAGGAGAGAAAAAAAAACAAAAAACAACCCACACCAAAAAAGCCAATTAGGTAAGATCTATCTGATACCAGCATTGAGCTGCCTGGAGATGTACAGTGCTGCATCTATGCAGGCCTTGTGTGTGTGTATGTGTGCGTGCTTATTCTTCAGGCTCAGAAATCTTTTAATGGTAATTAATTTATTTTAATGGTAATCTGCTTTTGGTTCAAGACCTAAAGCAAGTATGCAGATATTGACCAGCAGAGAAGTTACCCATGTGATGTTGCCAAGGTTGCTTACCAGATAGAACAGTTCCCTCACACTGAGAACTGAACTCTCACAGTCCAGAGATCAGCCCGCGGGTTTACATCACATGATCTTCCAGCCATTGGAAACTTCCTGCTGGCTGTAAGTGGGTTAATTCAGCGAGCCCCAGCCAAATAAACAGATGGAGAAACTATTTTTATCCGCATGGACATGGCAATTGTTTCTTCAGCACAAGCTCTACAAGACCCTGAGGAACCACTGACCTCTGTGCTGGGCAGCAGCTGTGAGCTGTCCACCACACAAGCCTCTTTGGAGCAAAGACAGCCCCCCACTGGGCTGCCCACCAGGGGCCATGCAAAGGGACATCTTGCAGCCCTGGACCTAGCACCTCTCTCACGCTTTACGGGTCCCTTTTGATCACCCTCTTCCCCTGTGCCTGCTCTGAGGGAATTGCTCTGGGGCAAAGCTGGTTCCCTCCACGACGTGAGCTGGGCTCCTCCACTGACCACGTCAGCTCTCAGAGGTGACATTTGCGTTTTCAGCTCCATGCGCAGTCACCATAGTGCTAGATCACTCCTCCAGTGGCTGAGCATACCAGGCAGCAGTCAGGCATTTATTACTCCATGTGTGTAACCAGATTTTCAAGTGTGTTTCTGAATATCGAGGTAGAACACAGCAGCTGCCAGGCTTGCCTCCACCTCCAGCATTTACCCTACAAATCGGTCACTGTGGGAATAGAGTTTTCATCAAACACCAGCTGCAGCTGCCAGCTCTGACCACCAGTCAGTCAAGGGTTTACCGACTAAATAATCATTAATTTGGTTATGAAGAACTCTCTGACCCTTCGCCCACGGCCGGAAGCCGCTGCGCAGCAGGAACCATTTGTGAAACCACTACATGGAAGGTATTATAGGTTCAATATGTCTGGTGTGCATTTTTTTTCACCTTTCCCACCACCCCCCCCACAAACTGAAAATTAAGCTTGAGGTTTATTTAAGAATCTTTACTTTTTTTTTTAAATTTAAATTATGCTTCCAAAATACAAGTAAAAAAACCCCTCACAATATGTTGCTAATTTCTACAAAGTAGTCTAAATAATAATGCACTTACATCATTTACACAATTTACCTTCACAATAAAATAGGAGCGCTTAGATCAGTATTTACATATCGACAGAGAACGCAGTCACGCAGCCGCCTGCTTCTGGCACCGTCTCCTGCTGGAGTACCTCCGGGAGACCGCAGCCCGCTGTTGCACGCAAATCCTTCTGCAGGGAGAAAGCCCTGCCAAAGTCTTTCTAGGTGCAGGATCCTGCCCACAGGGTGCCAAAGAGACCAAAATGGTGGCAAATATTTGCTTTTTCATCTTAAAGCTGCCACTGTAGCACATGAGCACACATCGATGAGTTATTTAAGGAATTCCCTGGTATAGAATTTTGCTTCGCTATACTAGGCACTTCATTATAAAAGTTATTTATTATGGCTTATGCAAAACATTTCGCTTTCCTCAGTATATATACTTGCCAGAGTCAGTGGGAGAAAGATATGTCCAAGGGCACGCTTTGAGCCAATGTTTTGGGTTAGCCTGCATCAGAAACTTGGATCGTATTACTTAACAGCGGTCCTGAAGGAAGTATTTTATCCAGACCTGATCTTTCCAGCAAGTCAAACAGTCAGTGTATTTTAAAGCTTAGTATATCTGCACTTTTCCCCCAAATGATTGGTAACTAGAGCTTTCCCTCTTACAGTAAGTTAACTACTTACATCCATGCTGTTCAACGTGCCATTGGGTGACATATCCCACGTATGATTGTCTTTAAAAGAGTACACTGTAGGTCAAGGGATTATTTACACACCTTAACATGTAGAAAATAAAGTTGTAACTTACCAAATAATAAATATAGATCAACAGAGTACAATATTGAAATAAAATAAATTAGAATGATTCTCCAGGTGTCGAATCCCCTCCCTTAAGGCCTGAGCCAGAGACCATAAAAAAACAAAACATAACAAAACGCAAAAAACAGTGATGTTTTTCAATGCCTCGAAAAGATTTTGTGTAGGGCTCCTTGTTAGACACTGGCTGTTTGAAATGAGATGTTTAGCTAAGCTGACAGGTATTTGAAATCTGTATGATCAAACAGCAAAAGTTACCTCTAAAAGGAGTCTTTTGGGTAAAACAATTTAAACCAAACATTAATACTGCATTTATTAAGAAGAATATAGTTCTTGCAGATTGTCTCGACATCAATTCAGCAGCAAGGAATTAAGCATACAGTTAAGAACACAACGTATTTGTGAGGCAAATACGTGCTAGTGCACATGATTTTCCAAAAACTTTACTCCTCAGCTACATTTGTGCATATTTCAGAATGCTTCTAACTAGACGGTTAATAAAAGTCTTCTCACGACTATAGCTAAGTTTACCATTAAAAAAATTAACTGAAAAACAGTTAGGAGTAACTTAGTCAAGAATGATGCCAAACTTCAGGTCCAAAATACATCAGAACACTGAGAAATTTGGAATCTAAGTAAAAATCTTAAAACTTAGGTCTATCAAACTTAAAATTAAAAAAAAAAAAAAGGAAAAAAAGATTAAAAGCAGTGAATCTGCTCTCAGAATTGCACGCTCACCAGATTTGTAAACTCCACGTGAAGTCAGTGATGCACTGTTCACTATAAGAGGTATAATGTAGATGCTCTACGCAAAGCAGTGCAGGTGCTTTGTCCGTAATTTACTTCATGCCTCCTTTTTCTCTTCCTTGAGGATCAAGCATTTAAAGTAATGCAGTAGCTAAAAAGTCTGTCTCCTAGGAGAAGGTCTGGGTTTACATGGAAGGGGGGGTGACAGGCGTCCACGTGGATGCTAGCCTGGCATGTGCGGAGGCATCATACTGGCTGTCGGGGAGGGCCGGGGGCGCCCCGCCGTCGTACAGGGGGGAGGCAGAGGTGGCGGCGGCCGCTGGGTGCGGAAGGGCAGTGTAGTGCGCTGGAGAGCCACGCAAGAACTGGGAGCTCAGGCCGTTGGACATCCCGCTCGACTGAGACACTGGCGTGATGGTGCTGTTACTCACAGACCATAAGTTAGGGTACTGGCTGGAAGAGGGAAGGTGATAAATAAAATAGGTTATATATATATAGGTTATATATATATAGTGCCAGCAGGCACTAGAGTCATATATATATGCTGGCAGTTGCTCGAGCCACAGCGCAGCTCCCAGGCTGGGTTCGCTTGCTGGAGACAGTGAATTTCTTTAGGAAGCTCCCCCAGCCACTGGGAGGTAGGAAGGACCCCCAGGCAGGAGGTCACGTTCATGGCACCCTACCAATAAATCTAACCTCCCCCTTTTCCCTAAAGCAGGTCCAGCACTGGGTAGGTTAGCAAATTTGCGGCCAAGCTGAGAAACAAACAGGCGAGCCTGAAAAATGCAGAGGTTTGCACGCAGATTCCTGAGCCATGCCATACCCTTTCCTCACGGGAAAGCCACATGATGGAGGTGGCTGGGACATGACAGCTGTTGGACCCAGACAGGTTTAAATCCATTGCCATGAGTCTGTCAAAGCCCTACTCCCCCCGGTGTGCCTCTGTAGTCAGAGAGGGACAGATGCCTCCAGACAGCCATTCAGCCCTCCTCGGACCTTGTTCATCCTCTCACGTTAGAAGGAGAAGAGCTGGATCGATGGCTGCAGATTGCACGGATACTACAGAAAGTAGTAGCTTCCTTTAAAGGAAAAAAAGCCTTGTCACTGACACTACAGCCTCCACTCTCCCTCTCCTCTGGGTATGGATACACACGCACACATATGTGCAAACACACATAACGAATTAAAAGAAATAAGCTGATTCAAGAGAAACACTATGAGAAAAGGTTCAGTCCTGCTGTGTAATACTACATTGTGCCTTCTACCTATCAATCCCAAGCAGTTTAGCAAAAAAGATAAATATTCTTCTCTACTTGACAAATAGGGGCTTAGACAAAAGGGATGGAAAAAATGCTTTCCTTGAGGCCCCACAGTTCCAGTTCTGGGGGACAAGTCTTAGCGCAGCAACTGAAACTCAGTGGACTTTGCAACCTTCCAGATACACATCCTGGGGGCCAGACATGGAAAGAAGCGCTAGGAGAACCTGTTTACTTCCTTAATATGTGTTCAGGACTAAACTTATGTTCAATAATACAGTTATTTTATACTGGGTAATAGTATATACTGTGATTAATAGCTAAGTGTCTGTGTGCATGGTTCAAATAAAAGGCTTTCCATAAGCAGAGTGGTAAATGTGAATTTCTGAGAACCTCAGCCCTCTGTGGTTAACAGCAAAGATTTTACCACCTTATCTGTATTTCTTTGAATTTGCAAGTTTAGCTCCGGGGGACTGACTGTAAACTAAATCTCTGCTAAAGGATCCAAAAGTTTAATTAAGATAAAAAGTACAAAGAGGAAAAAAGATGGATTTATATGATCACAAAATGGCAAAGGTTTTCACCAAGCTTATAATCCTACACTATGCTGGCTTCTGTGGCAATGCTCAAGTAAAGAATTACTGCCCCAGCCGCTTGCTCCTTCTCCACACTGTGGTTCACTGCCCCTTCGTTTGTAGCAGAACAAGGGTTTGTGGAGATGGATGGGAAAGCAGTGACTGGCTAAAAGGAAACAGGTCAAAAATAAGCAAAATGTTGTTTAGAAAGTTTAAGAGCAAAATGAGACGAGGCTTAAAAGCGCATCCTCAAAGTCAATGGGTGCTTGTCTAAGTGATTTGCAATCCTTTATCTATCAAATATCACTGTTGCAAGTAGCTACATTTCCAAAGCCAAAATGTAAAAAAAAAAAAAAAAAAAAAAAAAAAAAAAAAAAAAAAAAGTTTTGTCTGTTTCTTCAATCCCTTCCTTGTAAATAGTCCTTCTCAGTGCTGTGCCCTCCCCCCCCCCGCCGCCCCCGATAGCCAATGAGCCACACATGGCCATAAGGATTTCTCATTTGCTGGTGACTCTTTACCTCCTTTTTCATTCAGCCTTCTCTTCCTAGGAAGTATCAATACAGTGATTTGAGGGCTGCCGAGGGATGGACTCCTACCTGGAGCTGGTAGCTGTGCCAGTGCTGTGACTCATGGGCAGCATCGTCGTGTGTGTGGGAACTCCTAGAGAAGACCAGTTGTCATGGGACTGCAGCATGGAAAGGCAGGCAGAGGAGTTATCGGCATAGGCTGCTGAGAAAACAAGCGAGCACTTAAACACAGCAGAATTAGACCAATCTTGTATTCAAATAAAATGTATAGCTTTAAACCACCCTCCCCACTACTGCCTTGCAAAAAACCAAACTTCACACACACACAGAAAAATGAAGTCAGCTACCAGTTGTGTCAAGTTTACACTTTCACTGGCATGCCCCTGCCAATGTGTTGTTTCGCTCAACTTAGAGCTGCAAAGTCTTATTTCTATGAAGGACCTGTGGCCAAAAAGCTGTCTTCATACCACCTGCTAATTCATCCCATGCTTCCTCATTCGGTCAGTGGGAAGAGGCAGGCTCCTTGCTTACACTATCCCAATCACTCTTCCAGGGCACCTTCTTCATCTCCATCATCTACGCTGGCAGTAACAGCCTGGCAGGGCTGGATAACAAGCGCAGTGCTGGACCACACATCCCAGTTTTGAGCTGAGCATGCCACCATGGGCTCTGAAGTCTGCCTTAGGCAGAGGAGTGATTGGACTGTGGCTTAGACTACTCGGCTTGCGACCAAAACTGGCTGGCCAGCACGGCAGAGGCACTAGGAAGCTATAAGGGAATCCTCTACAGCCACCCATAGCGAGAAAGGAGCTGCTGTGGCAGCTGGCTAAGGGAAGGAGCAGAGGTTCCTTGCTGAGGACCAAGGAACATGAAGGAACACCGGAGACGTTTTGTTCTTTTGTTCTGTTTCAAGTCCCAAAACTTGCATAAAATTTCCAAGATGCAAGAAAAGCCCACAGAAAGCTAGTTTTCCACTTTAAAATGAACGACGAAGCTATATACAAGATTGGTCAGGCTGCATCTAGAAGCCTGTGTATTACTCCACAATTCAGAAAATTTCATTTTTTTCTTTTTAAATGGGAACCTTCAATATCCATACAGGCTGAAGGGCAAAAATTTTTAACAGAAGAAAGAAAAAATAAAATAAAAATCACTGTTAAAAATGCCTTTCCCTCCTCTTCCTTAGGTACATATGGCTTAAGGTTTAGTGCTATTTCTAAGCTGGCTACTTCTAAGCACGACTTTTAAATAGTTCTGCAGTTTATCAGTTCCATTTCATTTCCGTGTATCCGGTTGTGACACAGTCACTGCAAACAACCTCAGTGCGGGGATGTTAACTACAGCGACAGGCGAGTAAAACAGACAGAACCAGGCCCCCAGTTATGACGCATTAATAACAAGGGACACTAACAGAACCAGACAAGCACTTCTTCATTTCATTCTATTGCCTATAACTAATGATTAAAATCCTCACTTTCAAAGTTAACTTAGGAAAAAAAAAAAAAAAATCAAAGTAAGTTTAAGCTTACTGGTTACAAGAATTCGAAAGCAGTAGGCAAAGCCAGCACAGTATAATCTAATCAATCAACAGGACACCGTTCTCCACACCCTCAGTTTTTCCACCGTAAGGAGACTGGGGACACGCACTCCTCGTCCCTCTTTCCTTGCAGCGCTGGCCCCAAGCCCCCTGCGCAAACTGAGCTAGAGAGCGACCTCAGTTTCTGTGGCATCGCTCGAGGCACCCACAGCTCAAAGCTCGCACCCCTCGGCTCATTTCCCATCTTTTTACAGAGCTGCAACATCAGACTTACTTGGCGAGTTGTTTCTATGGGTGTAGGGGTTGGGGTAGGGGGCAGGACGGTGGTTCCTCAGCGATGAGTACCTTTCACAGCTGTGAGCAGGGGAGAGCGAGAGGGGGGCTCCAAACTGAGGGTGAGGATTGGCAGGTGGGCACAGAGCCCCGGTCCCGGGAATAAGCCAGCTACCTACTGTGGGGAAGCGAGAGGTTCGTAAGACGGGTACATAATGCAGCCAGGCGGGGAAAGCATCACAGGGCAACAAGATCAATAATCAATCGGTGAGGAAATGCACAGGCGGGAAAGGAAACGAGAGTTTCAAGGTGGCTGGAAAATCTGGATCTCTACAGCTTTCTTAAATGATCTGATGAAGGAAAATCAGGCAACGGCTCAGAAAAGCTAACGTGTTTTTAAAAGTACCACTTAATTACACCCACAGTAAGGAAACACTGAAATGGTTAAACCCTCTGTTCTGTAGATAGTGTGTGTGCTCAGTAATTGTTAGTGTGATCTTTGGGTTTAAATTGCTCCTTGGGGGTCTTGGTCTACAGCTAAGCTCTGAGGTTTCTCAGACAGCTAAGAACAACTCTTAAAAATTAAATATTTTCACTCAAACAAAATAATTCCCACTGCAGCTCAGCTTCCCCACCTTTATAGGCTGCAGACATTTTTTGGCAATAATCTGCTACAACAGAAACCCTTAGAACACTAATGCTTTTTATTCATCTGAGGAAGCTTTTTTAGCAGATGCCCCTAGTTTTCTTAAAGTACTTAAAGCCTAAGTACCATTTCAATAATTTTCTGCTGTATTTTGAAGTAAACTTTTGTCCCCATATCCATATGAATATTGCTGTCCTTGTATATATAGGCAGCCGGTTTTTTGGACATGCAGTTAACTGCAAGATTCTATTAAAGGATTTTGAACGCAAGACAGACTGCACACGCATAGATCATAACATTTCTACAACCATAAACCTGCATGAACCACAATCCTGAGGAGTAGCAATATTATTCTCCCTAGGAACTAACAAGCCAGCCAGCCAACACCACTCTGAAAGTTTTGCCTAACTTTATCGATGACATGGAAGAAATCAAAGTTATGTTCATGATGCAGAATGAAAGAAAACGTACGCTGCGAATACCCAGACTGCTGGTTGTCTCCCACTTCCTCCATCATGTCTTTGTGATCACTTCTATAAAAGAAACCGTGGTGTATTAGCTTAAGAATATGCTTTTGCAAATCTATGTAAAAAAATCCACACTTTAGAATTAAGAGCTCTCACCTTTCTTTTGCATCAAGAAATGCCTTTGCAAACGGATTGTATTTGATTTTTAAAGCTGTGATCTAAAAACAACAACAAATATCTTTAAGTATCACCATTCATTAGCACACAGAACTAGGATTTAAATTAGGACTATCCATTGAAGTTAGTGAAATCACAGATTTTTGAAGAAATAAGATTAGGCCCATAATACCAACCTACGGACATCAGGTGAACACCCCCTAAAGTCTGAAGTGTTAGTGGAGGGCTAGGACTCAGCCCCTCTGCCAAATTCTAAGAGGCCGAATTGCCTGGGTTTATTGATCAGCTAAGGAAACAGCTAAGAACGGTAGCACACTAGAGAGCTATAAAAATCTTCACATTTCAAGACAGAGCAGAATAGGCATCAAAACATCTCGGAAATATTAGTACTTTACAGATTCATTAAACATAGACATGCATTTTGGCTAACAGAGAAAGGCCAGTTTTGAAAACTGCCTGTCCAGTTATCTCACTGTGTGGCTGAAAATGACGGCTGTATTTCTGACCCCGCTTGCTTTGCCCCGCAGAATCTTTTACAAATTACCCTCCTGTAATGAACTTGTGGTACATATGGAGACAAACAGCAACCAGAACTTTGTGCTACTGTACATTCATCGGGCTTTTACGTACACCGATTTCCTTTTCTGTATTTAGCTTTAAAGGAAGCACAGAAAGAACAGAAAACCGAGAAACGAGATCCATTATTTTGGTCTCTGACATGCACTTTGCCACTTGAAGCCTCCTGGTACTTGCATCCTTTCTTCCCCGCTGTGCATACCTCCTCGTTCTGGTAGGCTGTCACGGCTATAAATTGGGTCTCTGGGAAGGAATGGCTGGTGATCATCCGCTGCGGGCCACCCACTCGCACGATATGAATCCTGGGCTCATACTTGTGCAGAGAGTTCAGCATGATCTGCGAGCAAACGGAGAGAGCAGGTAAGCAGTGACAGAGCGGTGGCAGATGCTGGCAGGCACAGAAAGCACTCAGGTTTTAAAGTATCTAACCATCCATCTCTCCAGCAGAGGAGGAAGAGGCAACAGGTACAGCTAAACCCTAAAACGGAAGCTGTGAGACAAGGGAAGGAACACTGCAGTCAAGACACCCCAACTTTTTGCCTAGTTGTCTGTATCCCTGTTACTCCACGGGGCAGCTTGCCTGGACACAAACACGTTGGCTCTAAATAGCCAGCAAGGTGTATCTAGCGCACCGCTGGCATCGTCAGATATTCAGACCAGAAAGACATTTCAAAAAAAGCAAGTCAAGGCACCCATCCTCGGTGGAAAGACCACTGCTGAAAGGATGCAGGGGGAGGTGGTCGGAGGGGGGGGGGCATGGAGGGCGACCCACCCCACGCCACGCTGTTTGATGACAGCAGTA